ATGGCAGAAAACATGCATTATTGTACTCTGGAGGGGAGTTTGACAAAGGATTACTCAAAAAGTACACAGTAAAAATACTTGATTGTAGTTTTGGTAGTAGTCCAAGTAGTACTGAATCCAACAGTACCAATTACATTCAGAACTTATTGCACAAAATCATTTTATCTCTCATCAAAGATGGCAGAAAACATACATTATTGTACTCAGGGGTGGAGTTTGACAAAGGATTACTCAAAAAGTACACAGTAAAAATACTTGATTGTAGTTTTGGTAGTAGTCCAAGTAGTACTGAATCCAACAGTACCAATTACATTAAGAACTTATTGCACAAAATCATTTAATCTCTCATCAAAGATGGCAGAAAACATGCATTATTGTACTCAGGGGTGGAGTTTGATAAAGGATTACTCAAAAAGTACACAGTAAAAATACTTGATTGTAGTTTTGGTAGTAGTCCAAGTAGTAATGAATCCAACAGTACCAATTACATTAAGAACTTATTGCACAAAATCATTTTATCTCTCATCAAAGATGGCAGAAAACATGCATTATTGTACTCAGGGGTGGAGTTTGACAAAGGATTACTCAAAAAGTACACAGTAAAAGTACTTGATTGTACTTTTGGTGGTAGTCCAAGTAGTACTGAATCCAACAGTTCCAATTACATTAAGAACTTATTGCACAAAATCATTTTATCTCTCATCAAAGATGGCAGAAAACATGCATTATTGTACTCAGGGGTGGAGTTTGACAAAGGATTACTCAAAAGTACACAGTAAAAGTACTTGATTGTAGTTTTGGTAGTAGTCCAAGTAGTACTGAATCCAACAGTACCAATTACATTAAGAATTTATTGCACAAAATCATTTTATCTCTCATCAAAGAGGGCAGAAAACATGCATTATTGTACTCTGGAGGGGAGTTTGACAGGGGATTACTCAAAAGTACACAGTAAAAGTACTTGATTGTACTTGTGCTACTAGTCCAAGTAGTACTGAGTTCAACAGTATCACTTTTATTAAGGATGCATCGATAAAAATCATTTTATCTCATCAAATATAGCAGAAGTTGCATGATTTTGTTCTCAGGAGGGGAATTTGAGAGTATTACCCAGAAAAAAGACAGTAAAAGTACTTCATTGTATTGTTGGTAGCAGTCAAACTAGGACTGAGTCAAACAGTGTTAGTTTTTTTAAGAACTCATGGTAAAAATAATTTGTATCGCATGAAGCAGAAAAAACATGCATTATTTTTACTCTTGCGTTAGTGCCGCTTCTCAGCGATTACCGTAAAGGCGCTATAAATCGCGCACTCAGAAATGAAGAACTGCTCATTTGACCAAGCAAATTTGAGAGACGGCTGAGTTGACCGCAGTCTCTATGAAACGTCAAGCTACCCCACAGCACCCCCTAGAGAAAATCTCTGGCGCCGCCACTGGTTCCGCCCACAGGAGATGCGAGCCGAGGAGCCGAGGAGGGGAACCGAGGAGAAAGGAAGGGAAGCAGCAGGTGGTTAGAGAAATGAGAACTCCTCTCCTCTGAGCGGTCATTTTAAAGAGACGTCCATTAATGATGACAGGAGGCACAGCAGCCCTCTGTCTGATGGACAGATGTGTTCATGACGACTTATATATTTACTTTGATTCATTCACAGTGCGGTATAATGAGACAATAACAGGCTACAGATGCGGACACACACACACACGTATATATATGTATATATACATATAGGCCTATATACAATTTCAGAATCAAACAGAGCACTCGCATAATAACGTAACACTCAGAGACACGATATATCCCCCCCCCCCCCCCCCTCCTCTCTGGTCGCTACAATGAGGAAAATAAATTACGGGCCTAAAGTTTTATTTACAAGTATTACAAGTAAGCAGAGGACACCAAACCAACTGAGACCTGTCTGTCCGCTGCATCTACACACTGTACCACACACACACACACACGCACCTACAGCTAACAGCCGTTGTGTATTTTATTATGTGAAGCACTAAATGGTTTTAGAAAAATATGGACTCTTTGTTTGTAGATATCTACTAAACTACAGCAAATAAAGAGAGTAGGCCTGTTATACTGAGTGATATATATTATACACACTGCTCTGCTTTCTGCACGGACCTCACAGCTGTTCTCTCTGTGAACATTGCGTCGCGATGAAAGGAGTTAATAAAATAATATCCAGGGGATGCATGCAGAGCTGTGATTGGCTGAGGTCAGTCCTGCCGTGCGTCACGACTCTTTGAAACATCTCTGTTGCCGGAAATGCATCCACGAAGGAGCCGTGGAGGACCGTGGAGGACCCCTCAGTGTATCCTCGGTTAGAGCTCCTCCAGAGAGCCTCCTCGATGCTCGGTCCTCGAAGTGCATTTAGAGAAATGAGATGTCCTTCAACATGGCGCGCTGAAATTCATTTCCGGGTCACTACCGGAGGACCGAGGAGTCGAGGAGGGGGATTTGATTAAATGAGAAAGGGCCGAGGAGTCGAGGAGGGGACATTTGAGTATTGAGAAACCTCTAGTGAGAAAAGAACAGCAAAACAAAACCCATTACGAGACACACACAACTAAAACCGTGACATAACACCAAGATCGTGACAGTTGGCCACTGAGCAGTGCTGTTGGAGATATAATCTTCCAACAACCTTATGGGCTATATTTCTGTTAATGCATGAAAGAAAGCAGTGACTTCATTAATAACTGAAAACAAGTCTTTATTACACAAAAATCTGAATATTTAGAAAACCCTCATTTCACCAATGTTTTACTGTATACATTACACCATATAGTAATATCAAACTGACTTACGTAAAGGCAATGATGACAGTATCCAAGAATCCCAAATTATATTAAAAAAAAGATACATTGGATAGGAGTAGATAAAATCACCAAAAACCTTTCACACACTTACTCCTAAAGACAAAAATATGCTATAAATCCAGCTTGGTTTCTTATGTTTTAACTAGTTAAACAGGTTCTGCTACTTGTTCACATTTACATTCAGCTCAAAGAATGTTAGAAGAGATGGCTTCAATAAAAACATGGTTATATAGTGAAGAAAAAACTAAAGATAATAAAAGATACAAAATGGAAGATATGGGATTTATTCAATTTGAAAATGAAAACTATCTCACAAAAAAAACAGGTATGGCATTTTATTCTAATACAAAGAGAAGCCTCGCAAAGGAGAATTTCAGCTCTGCATGCACAAATGAGAGCCTTGCATTAAAAAAAAAAACAATGCTGTAATACAATAATAAAATAGGATCTAAGAATGATGGTTGTGGATGGTCATAGTTAGTGGACAGTAGCCAAATATATTGACTCAAGTAGCTTTCTGTACAGTTTTTAGTCACTTACTTTACTTGAAATTAGAAATGTCCATGTTATGCTAGTTTAAACTTTAAACAAAACATCCACACAACAAAGTATGTTCTTACAGACAGCACTAATGTATGCAATCCATTTAGCAAATTACTTGTAACCGAAAGTTAAGTTGGATCACTTTATGTAAAAACCCAATTTTACCTCAACTCAACTCATCTGCAGTTTGATCTATGTCACTCTTGTCTTTGTAGTATCCTGTCCCAAATAATGCAGTCAACTAGCATCTTGTTGAACAACTTCTGGGAATTAAAGTTCATAAATAAACTTATTTGTGCTATTTGGAGCTTTAGAAGGCTCGGTAAAGGGGTAACTCCTTAAAAACTGCTAGGGAGAGTTGGTTAACCCCCTCACTCTAGAAAACTATAAAGTGCAACACGTCTATACACTTGTGTTGTCTGGGCTAAAATAGCTTACACACGGAGTGAGAATTTGACATAGGTGTTGGCCTTTACTTGTGTCTCACTTTACTTTCTGCCTGTCTGCCCCACACAGCCCAATCACTGCAACAAAAAGCAAATATCTGATGTGCGGGCCTGACTTGACAATCCCTGTCATCAGTTGAATTGTATCAATCCATCAATCACTCGCGTGTGAATGTAAAATTCAGGTCCGGATTCTGTCCGCAGTTCCCTTTTACACACACTCTAGCAATTGTCTGTAATTTGAGAGCGTACTCACCAAACTGGTAAAATTCTGTTCTGATTAAAAAGTGGACCTATCATGCTATTTTTAGGCAATAGCATAGGTCTCAGATATATACAAATATATAAAAAACATGTCTATGAAGTGTTTTGCTTCAAATACCAAACAGATCACCCATTCTAGCCATGCCTCATATCCCTCTATTTCACTTCCTGTTTCAAAAGTGCTGATTAGGGGTATAAAGCTTTAAAAAAAAAGAAAGAAATTGATTTAAAAAAAAGGAGGGGTCTGAGCTCATGCGGGACCCGGCAGCTACTGTCTAAACTAAAAACTGCCGTGATGAAACGCCATATCATGGATTATCAAGGATTATTTCTGAAACAGTATGGAGCTCAAAGGCTTTCTCTCTTGCCGGTTATACCACAAGGTGAGTTCCTTTTTATTTCCTGCTTCTTCACACACATGCTCTCCAGTACAGGTTAGCTCTGAGTGTTAGCGATGCTAAAGTAAACACCGACCATATTGCGTCCAAAACAGTCGGGCATTGTTTCTGATAGCAACGTTTCTGATAGGGCCGTAGGTGTAAAGCCAGCCTACATTTCCGATATTACGTCATATCGGACGCAAATCTGGATCAGCTCCGTTGTAGCCCCATTTTTAGAGATTTGGGTACGGAGGAAAAGAGAGAGGGTTTTATTTTCTGACGCTGCGTGAGTTCCCTGACAGACCCGGGACACATTTATGTATAAAAGACATCAAAAAGTGCATTTTGCATGATAGGTCCCCTTTAAGTAAGGGGGTGGGCACCTGGGTAGTGCGTTGAAGAGGCACGACATGACACAGCTTGCTTTTGCAACAACGTAGCAGGTTCATATTTTGGTATTAAACAACAAGTTTCTTGTTGTTCCTTGAATTTGCCTGGCCATTTTGCCCTTACAGACAGAAAATCCTAAATATTGTTGCACCTCCCTCTTCTTCACCCATTTGGACCTTAAACAGACCTCTACATATAACGGTATGGGTTTCTGTATAGTTGATAATGCAACATTGAATTCAGAGTACTCACTGTTGTTTACACTTTCCAGAGGGGCTTTTTGGACTTTTAGGATTCTTCTTAGAATCCTCTTTGCTCTTTCTTGATTTGTTACGAGGAATTGGGCTCATGACTGTTTGAAACTGTACAGGACTCACTTCAACACCAATTGCTTCAGCCCCATGCGTGTCATCAGAAGCTCTTGACACATCGTCTATCAGAGTTTTCCCCACAGTGTATGGGCCTCCCCCTGTTGCTTCTCCAGTTACTTGCAAAGTTTCATTCTGAACGAGGTTACCAGCCTCCTCATCTACCTTACTTTTTGCAATGGAACTTAAAGTTCCTGTCTCTCCTGAGTCTGGGTCTGATTCTGACACTGAAGATAGGGTCTTCTCTACCACTTTAATTTCTGAATAAGATGTTGGTGCTACCTGAGCAGATGCACCAGTTGCACTGTCATCAAATCCCTCCTTAATCGCGAAATCAAAAGTGACCTCTGCCATGCCTTTTTCAAAAGCGATATCTCCAGATTCAAACATTTTAACTGTGGCCCCTTTATCTTCACTGGACATAGAAACCTGTCCTGTTGCAACCCTGGAAGATCTCATTCCCTCAGAAGATATAACAGGAGAATCCAAATTCTCCATATTAGTATCCTTCTCTAACGCCTGACCAACAGTATCTTCTCTATCAGGAATATCCAAAGCTATGTCTCCTACCTGAGAAGAGTCCACGCCTTGCCTGACTTGATGTGTAGTAACTTCACAGGGTATTTCTAGAGTTTTACCCACCTTTGACGATGCTGGCAACGGATTAATCTCTACATTTTGACTTGCTAAATCAAAATTATCCTCAGATAAGCATTCAGTGTGACAAGACAGAGAGTTGTCTTCTAATTGCTGGTTCAACTTACTGCTCTCCTCCTCTACGTAAATACTTGTGTCTGGTGCGTCTTCTCTTCCATTCTCTTCTTCTTGGTCATCAGAAAAACTACTGTCTCGTTGTATGAAGGGGGCCGGTTCCTCTTCTTCCTCTCCATCACTGTCACCTGAGATTAGCATATCCTCTACTTGAACAGTGTTAGATGCATCTTCTTTTACACTGTCTTCATCTGAGATGGAAGACATTTGATGTACAATTGAAAGCTCTTCCTCCACAACATTGTTGTATTCTGAGATAAAAGGATCCTCCAAAGATCTTCTTCCTGATACAGCTTCTCCTTCAATAAATTCAGCTTGGGGTTCTGTGATGCTAACATTTTCGTGTATGGATAACACCCCTTCTTCAAAACTCTCCTCCTCTTCCTCTGAAACATTTATGATATCTGAGATTAAGTTATGATCAACTCGAGAACTCATGCATGTTGCATTTCCTTCTGCATTCCCTTCACCTTGGTCATCTGAGAATTTTACATTTTGCTGTACCGGTGACACCATTGCTTCAACAGAATCTTCACCTTTCTCTTCATCAATAATGTAGTCATCTGAGATTAAATTATCTTCCATTTGAGAACTGAAAGCATCTTGTCTTTCAGTGTCTTCATCTATGTTATCAGAGGTGCTAAAACTCTGCTCTGGCACTCCTTCCTCCATAATACTCTCTTTCTCTCCATCACTTCTCTCCATACTGTCTGCATCTGCATCAACTTGATCTGTATCACTTTCTTCTTCTTGGTGGCCACAGCAATTGTCTTTTGCTGTATGCATGTGTTGCTCTAATGTTGACATGGTTGACACATTAGACACCTCTTCTTGCACTTGATTTGTTATTTCTTCTGTGGCTGATGTCAGATTTGAATCACCAAGGATAATAGTGCTGACAGTTTGCGATGATGTTATTGCTTCATCAGCGCTATCTGTCTTTTCATTACCTTTGTCTATCATAATCCATTCACTTTGACCAAACTGTGGTTCTGGCATTGACTCTGGGTCGAGGTTCAACTTAACTTCAGATGCATTCAAAGTCACTTTTGAAAACATGTTTGGAAGAGTTGCTGACAATTTGTCATGCATACTATCGAGTCCTACATCAGAATCTAGCAGTTGCTCTTCCTGAGCCTTTACGTCTTCATGTGAATCACTGACTGTGATTACACTTTCTGCAGTCATTTCCTCCATATTCACTTTTCCCTGGATACTATTAGAGGTGGCAATTACCTGATTTGTTTCTATGTCTGACACTACGTTCTCTGCTGGACTGACATCTTCCTCCAAATCCCTGTCCATTTGGTCCTCTGTCACATCACCGAATTGAGGTTCTGACCCAACTTCCTGACTTTTGTCCTCTAGACCTTCAACTATGGTGAGATGAACAGCTTTTCCTTCTTTTACGACTCCTTTCAATGACTCTTGACTGTCCACATTTACTTCTGTGATATCTTGTATTTGATCGTCTACAATGTCGATGTGTTCTAAAGTAGATGTGGATCCCTCTCCTTGGGGAATTGTTGATGTCTCTATACTCTCTCTGCCTGTATTAACTAAATCAATGACATCTGATCCAGGTTGGCACACTGCTGTGGTTGACATTTGATTGACCAGAGATATATTTTCCTCTGAAAAACATTTAGCAGGAACATGATTTTCCTGCTGTTCTAATTCCACTGAGTTTTGTTGTGGGACATTGGATTCTGTGGTTTGACTTACCATATCTGTACATTTGTTTGTTGGAGCTGTTTCTGATGTTTGTGTAGGACATTCTTGGATACCCAATTTGTCTTCAAATGCAGTTTGGACCATCCTACCAGGATCCTCATCATCAAGTGATGTCTCGAGAGGCATTGATATGTAGGGGACATCATGCTTTTCCTCAACCATTTCATAATTCATGTTCTGAACTGAATCCTTCAACTGATTTTCTATCAACACCTCTTCGTTTGATGGATGGGTTTCAGCTGAAATGATGGTATTTACAACTGTTGTAGTCTTGTCTTCATTTGGTGAACTAATTCCTGATGCTTTTAGAATACCACTGGTATCTGCTGTTTGCTGCAACTGCGTAGTTTCTTGGTACTGGTTTGTACTGACCTGCCGAATGCCAACTTGAATCATTCCAGGTTGCCACATTCCAACCTGTCTGACTTCTGGTTTCACTGTCAACACATGTGCCATTCCCATTCCTGGCTGCCCAACCCATGTTTGCCCCAAATTGCTATTTACTGCAACAGCACCCCCCCTCTTTGCAACAGTGTGTCCTGGCAGAATGCCATACACACTCCCCTGGGCTGCTAGGTCTAACACCCCCTGAGGGGGAGCAGCCTCTTTTACCAGGATTCCACCTCTGGGCAAATTGCCCTGAGACGAGCCTCGGTCAACCTCACCTGCATCATCTGGTCTCTTATCTTTAACTAACATGTATTTACCATCGGGATTTGGCCCTATCATTTTCCAACCCTTTGCAGGGCCTGAGCCCGGAGACACACCTGGACTACCAGGTAAAAAGAAGGTGGAGCTAACTGGACTGGCAGGGCTTTTTGGGCCCTCAATGCCCTGAATCACTAGCCCAGGAGGAAAGCCTTGGGGCCCACTGACTACATACAAGCCTGGCAAATTAGCTCCATGTGACCCGTCTGTTAGCATAACCGTGTTCTGTAGCTGTGGTTGAACTACATAGTGCATGGGCTGTAGTACAGGGTTGGTGGCGTAATAAACTGGCTGTGGCTGTATGAAAACTGTACGAGCTTGAGGGGACAGAGTGGCAGAATAATGAGCTTGAGGGGGCAGAGTGGTGGAATGACTAATGTTAGTAACCTTAGAGTTAGGAAGTGTCATGGATTGATGGGCAGTGCTTACAGTATTGACGGATGATTTGGAGATGTTAGTAGATGACATGACTGTCTCTTTCTTGACATCAGTATGCTCTGTTTCAACGCTTCGCTCAACTTTGGGCATAATAACAGGTTCAACCTTATTTACTGTGGTTTGGACAGCACCTACTATTTTGTGTGTCAGGGAAGGTTTGGGTGTTGGTTTAGGAGGGGAGCAGATATCAGACAGAGTCTTGAACTTTGGCCCAAGGTCATCGAGGAATTGCAGGTCGTTGTTATTTTCCAGGAGGCTGCAGCAGCCCACAGATCCAGCAGAGGATCCCTGGCCCTCAAAATGATACTCCAAAGAACAGTCCTTCGCAGGCAAAGCACACATCGCTTTCTGTTTAAGGTAAAGGAATAGCACAGACACTGGTGTCAATCATTTCGGAACATTTCTTTAAAGGTGAAATCTTGTAAAAGAAAAAAAACAGCAGAATGCAAGGCTAACAACATACCTGTGAGTAGTAATCATTCAGGAAAGCGTCAGGTAAGGCTATATCCTCATAGAGAGCTGTTGTGTGAGCTGTTGTGTGTTGTAGTGTGTTTCTGCTGATTGTTGCACTGCCATAACCATAGCCAAAATCCCTTGTTAATCTGTGAGCGTTGTTGTCGACCTCCATCCAACTTTGCCTGGTGTCCCGAAACCTTTCCAAAAATCCCTCATGGATTGTAGTTGTCTGGTTATTTTCTATAGTATTTGTAATAGTGCCTTTGGAATTTGATCCTTGTGCTGTCCCAAATGTCTTTTGGGGACCCAAAGATACAGATATACTATGGAGTGGCACTTCCTAAAAAAAGAACAGGAGAATGACAATGTTATCTCAGAAAAGCATATAGGTTTAGCAATATTAGACAGGGTTAAACCTTCCTGTTTGTCCCTGTGATAACAGGAGTTACTGATCTTATATCCCATTGACCCACTACACTGCTTTCTTTCACCAACATTGCCTCTTGATCTCTATAGACGATCATTTTCAATAATATTAGGATATTGTCTGATACTCTGTATTGATAAACTAAAAATAAGAAGTTAATGTATACTTTTCTTCCCAATAAAAAACAACAACATTGCAAGCCAACCTTATCCTCGCCTCTGCCTTCAGTGTGGTAAGATATGAGTTGTTCTTTGGTCTCCCATGGCATGTCACGAAAACTGTCAGGAAAAAGTTCTGCTCCACACTGACAGAACAGCATGAGAAGAGGAATAACTGCAGAGAGAAGCACAACATTCAGTTCAATGTCAAGCCAAGTTCAGTTTTTTTTTTTACAATTATTTCAAGATCTTAATATTTCAAGAGACACAGAGTATTTAGTATTAGCAATATCATTCATATAAGAGTGTTAAGAATACATCTAAAAACAGAGAGTTGTGAATGGGGAGTAACTCTAATATCATTTTTTAAGCCGTACTTATTTGGGGCACTTATTAAATTATGTTATTCAGTCCAATACATCACACCACCACTGATGAATTTATGCCCCCTTATATATAAATATTGGATTGTTTTTTGATTAAGAAGGCACTGATGGTACAGGTATCAGACATGAAATAGTGTTATTGACTGTTACATGCCGCAGTTGGTGCTTGTGTGTGTGCTTTTGTGTGTGTGTCTCTCTCTCCCCCTGATTGTCTCCAGGTGCAGCCTCTCCCCCAGGTGCTCCCAATCCCCAATCAGGGCCTCCATAAAAGGACCTGAGGAAGGCTGCAGTGGCCTCTCTCCTTCTCCTCTGGCTGCATGTGTGCAGCATGTCTCTGTCTCTGTCTCTGTCTCTGTCTCTGTCTCTGTGTCTGTGTCTGTGTCTGTGTCTGTGTGAGGCCTGTGTTTTATCAATTATTAGGAGTTGTGTTCCTGTATACATTGGTACATTAGTTTACTTCGCAAATTGGCTGGTGAGCCTGTGTTCTTTTTGTCCATTAAAAGACCTGCTTGTGGCTTCAGAGATAAGTTTCCTCTCTTTTTTCTCGTGCCTGGTCATTTCTATGTTTTGTTACTCCCCTTCGTACCCCTAGATTTGGAGGGAACGTAACATCGACCCATCCGTAACAATCCCTAATAAGGTGTACTGTAGGCATTTGTTAAAGATCAACTTACACAGCAATAAGCACATTGCCGATAGCAGGAGGCTGATAGCTGGGGCAGAGAGCTCAGTTGAAGTAGTTTCTAATTTGGCTGCCTTTATCTTGCAGTCTTTTGTCTCCACACAGGTACAAACGTCCACGGTAAAAATGTCATTGGATGGGCAAGACAGACCTTGTGCATCCAACACCTCCACCTGAACCTCATATAAGCCAGGCCAGAGCGGATCATGAGAGTGAAGCGCGGCACTCGTCTCTGTTGACAACAAAGGAAAAAGCACTGTCAAATAACGCAGTATAATCCTTATTACTTTTGCTTGTAACCTAAGTAATATTACAGTTTAGTGATACTAAAAGAATATAACCACAAAAATCACAAATAATGCTAAAAGAAAGAAAATCATTTATCAGTTTTTTTCTTCTGCCTCCAACCACTTTTTCTTACTATTGATGACTTCTACGTCCCAGCTGCCTCGTGTCCCATCAGGTATGACTCTGAATGTGAATGGAGCTCCGTTGGGATTAGCATCCTCATCAAATGCAGTAACATAGACAGTTGTTTCATCAGTGCATTGGGTGCTGTGGGTGGTGGTCAGAGTGGGACAGTGGTCGTTGGAGTCAAGGACTTGAATGGCTATTGTTCCTGTGGCGGTCTTTGGTGGCATGTCTGAGGATGACAACAGTTTAGTAAATCCAACAGTACAAAGACTGGAGTGCATAACAGCATATTCTAATATAAGTAGAGTAGTAAATAGTGGATTACCATCTGTGATCGCCAGAATCTTGGCAATGTAGGTACCATTCACCACAAAAGGTGACTCTCTGTCTGGTACCCTGTTGAGTTTAATCTCAGCTGTTTTTTCATCGATGGTAAACCAGTTTTCTGGATCTAAGGCTTTGGCATAACTAGGAAAAAATAAGTAGGAAAATAAACAAAAATATTAATATAAGTAATATACAGTAAACCAAAGAAGGAGAAGAAGAATTTGGTTAAAGTAATACTTTCAACATTTGGGGAAAAACACGTAATCACTTTATTGATGAGAATTATGTGTGTAAGTATGAAGCTAAAGCGAGGAGACAACTAGCTAAACTAAGGACAAAGGGAAGTCAACTGGTCAAGTCAAATAGAACCTCATGAGACGGTAGAAATGGCAGAGGAAAAGGATATTCACTTCAACAATTTGTCTTGATGGAATAAATTATATCCAGCTACAGAAAAACTGAAGTTTCTTGTCTTGTCACGTGTTTAATGTTTCAGAAATCTGCAGAACATAAGAATTGCAAGCTGCTGCTAATTTTAACACGTTTTTATACAAGTCTTTGTTCCGAACTAAGCATTAATGTGGTCATCCCCTTACTTATCATATAACGCCACCATTAGTTTGATAGACTTCGTTTTGAGTGGTATGGTTTGAAAACTATTGGGTCATCATCACCAAGTCAAAATGTTAATTGGGTGATTTTAAAGCAAATAACTGTAAAACAAATCAAATTCCCATCAACTCTATCTGTACTTTGGGATACTGCTAATTCTCACATTTTAGCATGCTAAATTGCTAAACTAAGATGGTGAACATGGTAAATGAGTGGTAAAAGTAATGTTTCCTGCAGGATGACTTACTTGACATCTTCAGCTGGTAGCCCTGTGTCTGGATCGACAGCAGCAAAAACTGTGATCACTCCATCTTTAGGTGCTTCATTTGGATCTTCTGATACAGGAACATTCTTGATGGTTGGAATGAATGCTGGATCCTCTGGAATGTTTTTCACTGCTATCTTAATGGGATAGCTCTTTGCCGGTGCATTTGGCTTAGTTCCTGGTTTGACACCTGGCTTAATACCGCCACCCAGTCCAACCCCAACATCTGGCTTAAGTCCAGGTCCAGGTCCTGGTCCTGGTCCTGGTCCTGGTCCTGGTCCACCTCCAGGACCAGCTCCGCCTCCAGCTCCGCCTCCAGCTCCGCCTCCAGCTCCGCCTCCAGCTCCGCCTCCGCCACCGCCGCCTCCAGCTCCGCCTCCGCCACCGCCGCCTCCACCTCCACCTCCAGCACCCGCTCCAGTAGCCATAGGATTACCCTCTCCAATCTGGACGTCCACATCCATTGATATAGGACCACCCTTCACAAAAGGAGCTACATTCGTAACGATCAGGCCAAGCTCAAGATTCTGGACATCTTCATAATCCACAGCCTGTTTGGTCCGGATTGTAGAGTAAAAAGCAATTTAGTGAAAGGACAAGAACAGATACGAAGCAGCAAGCAAATGTTAGGGCACCACTCAACACTTGTTACAGTTAGTGTGATAAATAAAGTACAATGGTGTTAAAGTCACATAAATACCTTAATCAGCTTCAAGACGCCCTCATTGGTTTCCTTGTCCGTCTCAATTGAAAACATGTTATCTTCATTCCCTTTGGTGATTTTGAAGACAGTCAGCCAGTTGTCTGAGTGTCGAAGGTCTTTATCCAGAGCTTTGATTCTCATCACAACTACATCGGCAACATTTTCCTCCACTTCCCCATCGTACTGCAAACAGGAAATATGATTCGAAACATTAGATCAACAATATGTGTCAAAGTCTTACTGTCAGCTATGTGTCTATTCTGTTTACAAAACTGGTGTTTTTTGCTTGATGTTTCCAGTTATTATCAAAGCATCTACTCTTCAGAAGTAAAAGGCCACCGATAGGGTTTGGGGAAAGAGGCCAGTTCATGATCGCTCTCCACATATGACTACATGTTACCATGTGTCTCATCATAGTTGCAGAGGCCAGTAGCTATGTTTTACATCGCTATACTTTTGTTTTTTTGTCTTCATTTGAGGAGCACGAATTAACAATGAAAGAGATACATTCATCCACATAAAAAAAGGAGGTGTGGGGACTGAATTAAGTGCAGTGGACTTGACAGCACTAGACTAGACTTTGTATTAAACAGCACCGAGGATGAAGTATCAGATATCTGTTGCGTAAAAACTGACGCTGCTTCTCATAATGTGGCAGATGTTAAGATTCAGTGCTGAGATAAGAAAAGTAATTTAACCCTTGACTTGACCCCTGGGATACTAGCCTTCTTGATGTTACTTTTCAGTTAAAATGTCACATTAGCGTGTAGATGCTAATGTAGTATCTGCAAGCTACATTAGCATCTACAAGCTACATTAGCATCTACAAGCTACATTAGCTTGTAGATGTTAAAGAATAAAAGCCCATGGAGCCTTGAGGAAATGTGCGTATTACACATTCAGTTGTATATTTACTAGGGCTGGCGGGACAGAAACATGGAGAAAGGTACTGAACTTTTACATGGACATTTTACATCTCTTCCAGACGGCGGAGTTGATAGAACCAGAATTATTTGTAACCACTGCAAAGTAGGATTTTCTGATCACTGAGGGTAACTTTCATAACAAACTAGATAACATGTTAATGCCCTTGCAGTGGCAAATAGCTTTGGTTTTATATTTGATTTGTTTACACTAATTAATGTTGAAGTTGAGATTTATAAGAAATGTTTTAACTGCTACTGTGTAAAGGGAATACTACTGTTAAAAAGTACCTTATTTGTTTGAAGTGTTTGCAGACCAAATGTTATTGCACTTTTAATATAGCAGTACTTTTAAAATAAAAGTTTGCAATACACTACTTTTGTAATCATGCGATTAAACGCGATTAAATAGTTGAATTGTTGCTCAGCACTAATAATTTAGAATTTAAAACTAATAATAACTTTTCCATTGATGGCTTCCGGACTGTTTGGACCAACAAGGATTGCACCAAGAGCTTCACCATGCGCCTAAGTCTTCAGATTCAACTCAGTTAAATTATCAATTTAAAAATCAACAATAATTATCAATCACAATCTGGACATGCAAAAAAGGATACAATGATCCCAAATTGTCTGAAAATAAACGTTGTCAATGCTTAGTTAAATCGTTAAAGTAAAGGTAACATCTCACACGACAGACACCATCTCTCTTTTCATTCATCTCTATATCCTCTTCCCTTTGTTCTCTCTCCCTCTTTATTCTCTGCCTCTCACACCTCACTTGCTATATACATTTTTCTGCAATAGGCTTTGTGTCGCAGTTTTAAAAATGACAGGAATAATTAAAGAAAAGTTTTCATTTTAAAGATATGATGCACTTTGAGACAAACATTAAGTGGTTAGCTTAAGACCATTTTGTTCCGTAAACATTTGGTGTCTATGACTGATAGTCATTGCCCAAAAGCTTAAAGCACACACCTTCAGAGCTTGTGGTTTTCAAAATCCAGTGCAGCTGCTGTAAACAGTCAAGAGAGACACCCTCCCCAAGCTGACCAACAATATAGTCAAAATAAAAGTCAGGGCCTCTCTAACATTTGCTGGTTGTTGTGTTCTGATATATAAACTCCTGCCGCACAATGTTAAGAGAATAAGTGTATGCCCGGGAGTTGATGCTGTTGTGGTTAAGCATGAGTAACAGTAAAGAAACTAGTACCCATATCCTCTGTCCCGTGCTTTATTAATGTTCTCTTTCTACTAATACAGAGCCCACATTTTAGACTTATTTTTTAAAGGAGGTAATACATCAAGTAGGCTCACTGTTGTATAGACTCCTAAATCAAACTTATTTTTGCAACAAGTAGCATCACCTCTTGCAGAAAGACTGCAGGTTTGCATTCCTCACTTTCCAACCAATTGCTTTCCAACCAAAGTCCATTAAAGTCTGCTTTTTACCTTGCATCCAAAACTGAACATATATACTTATTTTGAGCAGAGGTGGAAGAAGTATAGATATTGTACTTGAGTAAAAGTAGAACTACCAGAGTGTAGGAATACTTTGTTACAAGTAAAAGTCCTGTAATCAAAATGTTACTCAAGGAAAAGTACAAAAGTATTGGCATCAAAATATACTTAAAGTACCAAAAGTAAAAGTAGTCATTCTGCAGATTGGTCCATTTCAGAATAATATATTCAATATGTTTTGATTATAATTATTGATGCATTCAAGTGTTCTCAAAGCTGGTAAAGGTGCAGCTAGTTTGAATGACTTTGTATACTGAATGGTAGCTTGTGGATTTACTCTGGGCACATTCCAAGGTCTTATTTAAGAGTTGATTATGTTTCAAATCATTAATCCAAATCTGCAAAGTAACTAAAGGTATTAAATAAAAGTAGTGGAGTAGAAGTACAAGGTTGCATACAATGTAAATACTCAAGTATCTCCAAATTGTACTTAAGTACAGTATTTGAGTAAATACACTTTGAGCAAAATAAATCAAAACATCCAGAAGTCGTTTTGTTGAATTTTTTTTGTATACGTGTACAGCGTTAACCATGTGTTCAACACTACATCCGTATCCTGGTTTGTGGATGTACCCTTAAAAGGTCATTGAAAAAATGCAGCTAGGTGCCTGAGAATGTAAGGATGTAATGGAATAGGTTGCTGTGTGTGTGTATGTGTATGTGTATGTGTATGTGTGTGTGTGTGTGTGTGTGTGTGTGTGTGTGTGTGTGTGTGTGTGTGTGTGTGTGTACCTCAGATTTTTCCAGGGTGGGGATGTTGTCATTGATGTCCAGGACTTTGACCTCCACTGTTCCTGTCCCTACTAGGCCACTGGATCCCCCTCCCATATCAGTCCCCTCTACGACCAGTTTGTAGAAGTCAATAGTCTGTTGGAGGGAAAACAGGTACATTCTTCTGTTATCTGATGACATGTGATCATATTGTGCAGGGTGAGTCAGACCTTCAGGGCAAAACAGTGCTGCTGTATATTGTTCCTCGATTGAATTTCAAAGAACATCTTGTTCCAACTAAAGTATTTTCATCCCGCCTTAATTCAAATTATGTAAAAACCCTGGGGCCCTGAAACTATCAAAACACAGTCTACTTGCTAAAATGCCTTCTAGACATCTGCAAGTGGATTTCCTGCAGCTAAAAGATTAATAGTCATCACATAGGTTCTCTGTCCCAGTCCATCACTCAGCACTGCAAAAGTCTTGATATTCGACCAAAACCTCAACCTAGACTATTTCTTACTCCATAAAAGTTTGAAACAGTTGTTCCAGCCAAATTAGCAGTACATTTGATTGCTCTCTCCTCCCTGGCATACATTTTAAAAATCCTTCTCCCGTTTTCAGCTTAATCAAAACTCTGCTTTTGAATTTACTCAGGTTAGAACAAATTACCACATCACACGAATCCTGGCTTCCTTTCAGAAGCCCTGAGAGGCATAGCTGCCGGAGGTATTTATCAGACCTCTTATTGCCCTATGTCCACTCCCACAACCTGAGATCCTGAGATGCGTCGTTGCTGGTTGTTCCAAGGTACAGATTGAAACGCAAAGCATATAGAGCCTTAGCTGTAAGGGCTCCTGGCTTTGGAACAACCTGCCTGAGGAGATTAAGGCTGCAAACTCTTTTATGGTAAATGGTAAATGTACTGTATTTATGTTTCACTTTATTCACGACCCCTCTAAGCGCTTTGAATTCTTCAAGTCATCTTTCATACAGAGTAGTAAGCAAACATTCACACATTCACACAACATTGGCCTTGCCGTTGGGAGCAACTTGGGTAAAATATCTTGGGATAGGATACAAGGATACATTGACATGTTGAGTGCAAGGGCTGGGATCAAACCCACAACCTTCCAATTGAAAGAAGGCTGCACCACCTTGCAGCCACTCTGTATTAAGTATTATTCTTTTGAAAGGTTCTGCAACATATGTGAGATGTGTTTGATATACAATGACCAGAAGCCTCACCTCTCTGTCCAGGTTTTCCTCTTTGACGTACAGTTGGCCCGTCTTTCTGTCCAGAGTGAACATGTGACCGGTGCCTGCGGGCTCCTGACTCACGATCCTGTAGCTGATCTCACTGTTAATTGTTCCAGCTTCATCATTATCATTCCCCTTGATCTGCATAACAACGCTTCCTGCAGCACATCACAAACCATAACATTTCAGATAATCTGTTCACAGCTAGTATTCACATACAGTGTTTGCCTTTGTTTAACTTTTGAGTTAATCAAAGATTAAATATTATAATATGATATCATTTAAACAAAAACGCTTAAAGGCGGGGTAGGTAATTTTGGAGAAACCAGCTCTAGTGCGCTAGAATTTGAAAAAACACAACCGGAAAAAATCTGCCACTTCCTTACCGAGCCCCTCCTCCAACACACATGAACGCGCACATGACCAATGAGGGCACGAGATAAATTTGTGCACAGATGGAAGGCTGACAGGCAGGTAGGCCATCCAGTTATTTTAAGCCGGGCCGGCTCAGATGATTGGTCGTGCTTTTTACAGTACTACGGCTTCCACAGATGATATTTTTTAATGGATTTTTTGTCAAAGCACTTAAAATATTCATTGCTATCGGGATGTTAAGAGCATTCCATGGAATATAACAAAAAGTGTATCTCGAGCCGGTTTCTCAAATTTACCTACCCCACCTTTAAGAAAAAAAAAATGCTGCAAGACGCTCAAAACACAATGAAAACGGGGAACCTAAAAAGTGATGCACACAGCTAGGACCGGAGCGCTTGTTGGCATTCGGGGATTATAAAGTTGTCCAACTGTCACTGTTGGCAGAGTAAGCCTGTTTCATAATTGTGTGCTTTGTCAGTATATTCATAATATATGGCTAGGTTAGCTACGTTAGCTAGTTTACAGCAGATCTGCAATATTATCGGAAGGAATCATGCCATTACATCACATGTTAAAATATGCCGATACAATTTACGGCAGAATTTATAATCCCCGATCATCAACAAGTGCTTTCGATCCCAGCATCACTTTTTAGTTTCCCCGTTTCCGTTGAGTTTTGTTACTATAGGTATGGGCTATTGTGAAAAATAAGTACTACACTTTTAGTGCATTTTGTCATCCTTTATTATTTTAAATACGTTTTAAATAAAGGACTTTTATTATTTTTAATGTTGCTTTACTGATTTAACATATTTCTGAGTTCTGACTGTTTCCATCATTCTCTTACAGCAGCAAGCTGATATGTGTTCAAAAATGTGACACTACCTGGTTTGCTTTCCTCTGTGATGTTGCCCATTTGCAGCTCAAAATAAGGAGTGTTGTCATTCTGGTCCAGAACCGTGACTGTCAGTGGGACATCATCCTCTGCTTTCTTCCCGTCTTTGAACCTTGCGATCCCTGTTAGCTGCATGAGTTACATGAAGAAACACTTTACTATTGATCTTTGAAGATAGAATACAGACATCTAAACCTCAATTCAATGTTGCTTCACTAGATTTTTTTCGGAGCATCCTGTGTCTTCTCGCAGCATGTTTTAGCAGGTTTGTTTAGAAGAAAGTAAATTGACTTAAATTGTAAAATTAAAAAAGTTTAAAAAAGTAAATTGCCTGACTGTGGATGTCACAGCTGTCACATCTGCACTTTCTTATCGCTGCTGTTTTGTGCATGTGCCAAGCCTGGTCTCTTAATATACATACCTATTAAACTAAACTTTTATGTGGAAGCATATTTCGTCCCTATGACGCTTGGTTGTCACAAATGCGTTTCTTAAGGTCTCTGGGAATGTATGCCAGGTAACCTCCTTGTTTAAACTTTACATACAGGTTAATTACTACATTTATTTGAAGCTTCGTTAATATTACAAATCTGCTTGCACAAAACGTTGACAATCATCTGAAATATTTGGGCGTTACTAGTGCCTTCTTTATTTGTATTCTCTTTGCTGCTATAACGGTTTTTAATCACTGTTATAATCCCTACTTACATTTATTAGTTTTTATTTTTAAATGCATAGAGAGAAGCCTACCAAATCTCATCTATAGTATATCAAGTATAATGACAATAAACCTCTTTTGATCTGATCTGAAACAAAAGTTCAAAACAATATACTGTATGCACAAGGGTAGGCTAGTGGCATTCAGTAAAGCTCTGTGACTGAAGGAACGTGAGCTTTATTCTCCCACCAGTCTTCATCAGGTTTCAGGACAGTACAACTTTAAAGAAAGACTTACATTGTAGAATTGGCGTTTCTCCCGGTCCAGTAATTCAGTGATGCGTACAAACCCTGTATTTCGGTCCACTACAAAGAGATTGAAGGGTTCCTTGTCAGCTCCTTCTCCAGTGAGATAATAATCCACCAGCTTTCCCAAGTCTTTATCAGAGTGAATCTGACAACAAAACACAGACAGAGGAATCATGGACTTGCTATTCAGGTTTCCCTCTCCTGTAGTGTGTTGTATAGGTTTTTGTGAATGTAAATGGTCTGCAAAGGCTACCCAAGCTTTAAAACCAGAGTTCCATTAAGAATCTTGCAATATTTAATTCAGGACGATAACATCCATATCCAGTGTAATGTAATCTAAAATACAAAGTGAGTTGATTGAAACTGTAACAAAACCTTGAAGTTCAGTCCACTATTAGTGTTGCAGGACGTTCAACCTAAGCCACTTTGGTTTTTGACAGTTAACAAATTAATTACTTAGGGCTGATCATTACATTTTTTTAATTAATATTACTATTTTAAAAGTATGTTGCTCACTGGCTCTGAATACACATACAGACAAACCATGGGTCACAGGAAGGGTGGGATGTTGATCAGTATTGGCTTAGGATGGGCGTCTTTACACGTCTCAACCAATGAGAGCATTTGGGGTGGGCCTAAGACTGCTGCAGCGCTCACATGAACCGAAACAGAAGAGAAGTGGCAGGACAGAAACATGGACATTTTAAATCTCTTCCAGACAGCGGAGTTGATAGAACCAGAGTTATTTGTAACCACTGCAAAGTTGAATTTTCTTCTCACTGGTCTCTGAGGGTAACTTGTTTTTCTTTAACTAGATACAATGTTAATGCCCTTGCAGTGGCACCAGTCTATGAGTGGCACATAGCTTTGGTTTTATATTTATATTTGATTACATTAATTAATGTTGAAGTTGAGATTTACAAGAAATATTTCAACTGCTACTGTGTAAAGGGAATACTGCTGTTAAAAAGCATATTATTTGTTTACAGTGTTATTGCACTTTTGTTATACTGTAGCAGTGCTTTTAAAATAAAAGTGCGCAATACACTGGTTTTGAATTCATTATTGAATTTTGCGCATTAATTGAAGAAAATCATGCGATTAGTCACGATTAAAAATGGTAATCGTTGCCAAGCGCTAATTTATAGCAATAAATATGTATCACTCTGCACAAATAAACGTTAATAACAGGTTTGCTTGGGGTACACTCATATTTGTACTCATAAATTACTAATGCAGGCGTGGCTTCTCTAATAATACATACACTCAGATGTTACTGGTACACTATGTTCCCTATTTCTTATCTCAGCATTTTCTTGGGAACGTTCTGTTAAAACGTCACCTCTTTAGCCTGTACTGCAGCCCAGGGCCAAATCACCCAGCAGCACAGCTGAGGACTCAAACCAGTTGAAACAGGTTGGCTCACTGCAGGCAAAGGCGTGACAAAAACCAGTTTTTTAATTTTTTTTTGGAACATTGAAGCTCATCCAACTGGGCACTTTGCCAGTGACAAATTATAATGACTGTGTCTGCAAATTGTGGGAAATAATATTTGGATCAAACCTTGGCAATGAATTTCTTGTGTCGGTAGTCAGTGTTTTCCATGAGCTTGGCAGGAGGAAGGATCCACTCCCTCTTCTTCCTCCTCAGGGTCTTTTGCCTTCTCGGTCCTGACTCGGCACTGAGCACCTGAAAGGAAACCACACATAACAATTGAATTTACTTTTGAATGTTTCATTTTCTGCAAATATGAAATAACATTGTCAAACTCTTCACACAGCAAAAACAAGGTGTGAAACAACGGCAATATGTTTTCAATCCCTTCATTTTTCCAAAGACTTTAGTCTTATGAGTGATCTTTCCTTCCTCTTTAGAATTAAGACAAGAGCTCCAATAAAAAGCTGATAATACATATATATATTTCAACGCTATAGCACCAACTACATTTAAGAAGCTTGAATTTAAACATGAACCACTATTGGGAGCTAATTATTAAGAATAAAGGTGGTGACAGCACAGATAAATATAGTTGATCAGCCACAGCATGAATGTGTGGGGAAAAGGAAATCAGGAAAAGCATAAGCTATGATTATGGTTTTGAGGCAGTGGCACCTGTGTTCAGTTCACTTTCTATATGTCGCACTGGAAAATATCAGAACACACAATTATTGATATAGCTATGCTGAAAATACACAACTGTTCACCTCCCTAAGACCAAATGACATCAACCCTATCGATAAACTGGTTCAATGCACATTAAGCAAATAATATGCTGTAATTCAGAGAAAGGTTAAAAAAATGAGAGAGAAACAGAGACGAGTTGAATAACCAAAAGTCCGTGGCCAAGCCCCAAACAAAATGTCTAAGCATGCATAGATGCAGATCAGAATTTTGAATCAACACAAAATGAATGCCACATTTATACCAGCTTAGAAATTGTATTTGCTACAGTCCAACCAATTCTCTCTGAAAGAGATACTGAGAGAACTATACCTGTCTTTGTTACTAGCAGGCTGATTTAGCGCAATGTTCATAACATTTAGTGCAATGTTCATAAACATTTGTTTTACTCAAGAAAAAAGCTATAAATCATTTAGAGATTGTGTATGTGTACAGACCAATACCACAAAGAAAGCACCAGATTTCAAGTTGCTTTAAGTTGTGTTCAAAGCTCCCATGGACTCCCTTTACCTAAGCATCCTCTTATTCTTAATCGAATATATATAATTCTTGCTGTATACGCCAATCCAGAGCATCCCAAACATGCTCAATGGGTGACATGGGGGGGTCTGGGGGGGGTCCGAAAACCAGTCAGTATCTGGTGTGACCACCATTTGCCTGACGCAGTGCAACACATCTCCTTCGCATAGAGTTGATCGGGTTGTTGATTGTGGCCTGTGGAATGTTGGTCCACTCCTCTTCAATGGCTGTGCGAAGTTGCTGGATATTGGCAGGAACTGGAACACGCTGTCGTATACGCCGATCCAGAGCATCCCAAACATGCTCAATGGGTGACATGTCCGGTGAGTATGCTGGCCATGCAAGAACTGGGATGTTTTCAGCCTCCAGGAATTGTGTACAGATCCTTGCAACATGGGGCCGTGCATTATCATGCTGCAACATGAGGTGATGGTCGTGGATGAATGGCACAACAATGGGCCTCAGGATCTCCTCACGGTATCTCTGTGCATTCACAATGCCATCAATAAAATGCACCTGTGTTCGTCGTCCATACCATACGCCTGCCCATACCATAACCCCACCACCACCATGGGCCACTCGATTCACAACATTGACATCAGAAAACCGCTCACCCACACGACGCCACACACGCTGTCTGCTATCTGCCCTGAACAGTGAAAACCGGGATTCATCCGTGAAGAGAACACCTCTCCAACGTGCCAGACGCCATCGAATGTGAGCATTTGCCCACTCAAGTCGGTTACGACGACGAACCGGAGTCAGGTCGAGACCCCGATGAGGACGACGAGCATGCAGATGAGCTTCCCTGAGACGGTTTCTGACAGTTTGTGCAGAAATTCTTTGGTTATGCAAACCGATTGTTGCAGCAGCTGTCCGAGTGGCTGGTCTCAGACGATCTTGGAGGTGAACATGCTGGATGTGGAGGTCCTGGGCTGGTGTGGTTACACGTGGTCTGCGGTTGTGAGGCCGGTTGGATGTACTGCCAAATTCTCTGAAACGCCTTTGGAGACGGCTTATGGTAGAGAAATGAACATTCAATTCACGGGCAACAGCTCTGGTGGACATTCCTGCTGTCAGCATGCCAATTGCACGCTCCCTCAAAACTTGCGACATCTGTGGCATTGTGCTGTGTGATAAAACTGAACATTTCAGAGTGGCCTTTTATTGTGGCCAGCCTAAGGCACACCTGTGCAATAATCATGCTGTCTAATCAGCATCTTGATATGCCACACCTGTGAGGTGGGATGGATTATCTCGGCAAAGGAGTTCACTATCACAGATTTTTTCAGATTTGTGAACAATATTTGAGAGAAATGGTTATTTTGTGTATATAGAAAATGTTTTAGATCTTTGAGTTCATCTCATGAAAAATGGGAGCAAAAACAAAAGTGTTGCATTTATATTTTTGTTCAGTGTATATATTTTATACTATACTTGCACTGCTTACCGTTTTCATACTTTATATATCTTAGCATATTCATACACACTGTTAATACTGTTCATACTGCTCACAGGCTGCTGTGTAGTGTATTCATACCCTTCACTGTTTATTCATCATTCAATTCATTCTATATTTTATTCTGTAGATTGTGTACATTACTTTTCACTTTACTGCTTCTTGCACTCCTGGTTAGAAGCTAAACTGCATTTCGTTGTCTCAGTACCTGTAATCTGTGCAATAACATAAAGTTGAATCTAATCTTGAGCAGGAACAAATGTATTTACTTATTACATATCTGACATTAACGATTAAACACATTCTTTATAAATGCAAACCGAGTCAAGCTGACTCCGGAGGCGGCAGTATGCACCTTAAAGTTGTTTGCAATCCCCCAGAAAACCGAGAGAAGAAGAAGAAGAAGATGAAGAAGCCGACTCCGAGCTGTCCGACTTCAGGCGAGCTTTTTGAGACCTCCCCCAGCTGCGATCGGCTATTCTCGTCTACTTTCGAGGCGAGCCGCAACACGTCTCAAACAAGCCTATACTGTCAGACGATCAGCTGTGCGGCGTCATCACGTCACGCTCCGGAGGAAAGGACGTCCCATTGCTCTTAAAACTCATTTCCCTGCTTCTCGTGGTTTCCTTGCGTCTCTCCATGCTTCCCTGGTGGGAGGGACTAGTCGCAGGGAAACGACGCAAGTGAGGGACGCAAGGAATCCATTTAACCGAAGTGAAACGCAGCCAGACTGTCCAAAACTGGATTTGAACGGGTCGTCTTAAAATAAGATATACTTTATTAATCCCAAGTTGGAAACATTTGCGTTACATCAGCATGTGTAACAGTTGTAAATATGCAGTGGTGTTTATTTGTAAATCATTTAGTATAATCACACAAATTCTGTGTTTTATATTTAATAATTCTGTGTTCTTTATTTATTGATTGTTCAATACTGGACAAGGTCGGAGATGAAAAACTTGGGTTGCAGGTTCCTCAACAGTGCATTACAAGACATCTATCAATATGTGTGTACCTCCACCATTAAACTGTCATATTCTGCACATTTCTTATACTATACATCTTATAAGAGTATAATACATATATATAATATCAGTTAAAATAAGTGCTTCAACATAGTAAACATTGCTGGAGGTATACACAAATATTGATAGATGTCTTGTAATGCACTGTTGAGGAACCTGCGACCCAAGTTTTTCATTCATTGCATAACTACACCGTAGTTGTGTATAATATGATATGTCAATAAACCTTAGAAAATCTTGAAATCTTGAAAGGGATGTGCCAAATAGTCATTATATACAGTCTTTAATTAACTATTAGTAGAGAATAACGAGTAATGAATATACTTTATAGGGATCCTATTAATATCTAATAATAAAAATAATGAAATTCAATAACATGCTTTAACCACTAGGTGTCCCTTTATATCAGGTGTGCACCTTTATGGTGTAAATACAGCCTATCTACCAATTGGATCAAATATAAAAGTCAGCCGAATTAGTGTTGATACTGCAAGGAGACGTATTGTGTGAAAATAAATGTAAGATGTTGTTTAATTGCTGATATATTTATGATCCACGTCACATTCAGTTTTGGCGGCAGTTCTTTCTGTTTGTCTAGAAGTCTTCTCATCAGGGCTCTATAAATAGAGAACTACGGCAGATATGTAATATTTAATGCAGCCGAACCGTGTATTACAATGCCGTTATGTGATTACTTTTAAAGAGAAAAGCAAGCACACTCGGAATAAAGTATTTTATTTTTAAAAAAGGTTTTCGGTCTGTTTCCGGTATTTGTTTATGACGATGTGCTGTGAGATGTGAGACTGGTTTGGAGAATTGCACAGGGGAAAATAACGTATCTATGCCACAATTTTAGATGCTGATTTTGTTAAACTAATATGTTTGCGCTGTGGACCAACACTATAAATTGACGGGGAAGGGGGTAGCAATAAAGATAACACCATTAAACAGTTACACAACATAACAGAAATAATATTGATAGCAGCGTCCCTAGCAACCAAGCAGTAACGAACAAGTGACATCATGTTTGCAGGTCTCCCTTGAAAAAGAGATCTATGATCTCAATGGGACCAATCTGGTTAAATAAAGGTTTGAAATGAAATGAAATGAATGTTACAAGACAAAGTGACAAAGACATCCATCAAAGTTAGAATGAATTCAACTTTAACAAAACATAGACATTAAGGTAATACTGATGATACTTGCACTGACGAACAGTGCTTTCATTCAAATGGTATTCAAAGCATACGTAACACAACTGAAGCAGTGGACCAATTTTACTGGGGAGGGGGGACAGTGGTGGGGTCATTTATTTATGACAGTGGCACATTAAATGCGGGTAAATAGAGAAGAAGACAGTGTTCAAGATTTCAACATTATAAGGTAGGGATGTCCAAACTATGGTCCAGCAAATTCTAAAAGTATAATGAATTATGGCCCACACCTGCAAATTCTGCTTCTCTTATATTGTACTTCTTAAATATTTATATTTAAAAATATATTACACATTATTCATTGTTGTTGTTATGTCAGTGTTAATACGCCCAATTTTCAAATAAATTCAGTAAATGAAAGTTGACCACAAATCTTAGTTGATAAAAAAGCCCAATAACTTATTTGTATAACACGTTTGAAATATCCTCTTTCTATTTCCCCTTACCCCCCCCCCTACATGTGGTTGATTTTGCTAACTTATAACTTAAAGGTAGGCTAGGTAATTCACTTCAGAAACACTTTTTGTTATATTTCATGGAATGCTCTTACATCCCAATAGCAATGAATACATTAAATGCTTTGACAATAAATACATATTCATCTGTGGAAGCCGTGGCACTGTAAAAAGCACGACCAATCATCTGAGCCGGCCCGGCTAAAGTAACTGAGGGCCATTGGTCATGTGCGTGTTCGTGTGTGTTGGAGGAGGGGCTCTGTAAGGAAGTCTGAAGGAAGGGGCAGATTTTTTCCGGTTGTGTACTTTAACATTCTAGCGCGCTCAAGCTGGTTTCTCCATTCTTACCTACCCTACCTTTAATTATCAGGCAATATACCTCTAGTGAGGGGCCCAGCCCTTCGTATGTTTTTCTATATGTGGCCCTCAGTGAATAAAGTTTGGACACCCTTGGTATAGCGTCATAGCGCAAACCCCACCCCTCTGCCATGATAGGTATTTGTTTCAGTTGCAGGATTTTGTAATACCTTATTAAATTACATGAGTAAAAACTAAAAATTCTGCTAAGTAAGTAATTGAAAGCACAGTCTTTGCTACAACACGAAATGGTAATATATTTTTCTTGCTGCGGGGGGGTTCAGGAGGGGTCCAAGGTCAGTGTTACCCCTAAAACCACCCATGAACTGAAGCCAACATATTTTCTTATTTCTATCTACACAAAAATATTTTTTTGGTTTGCTTTCTTTGATTCATTTGTGTACATTGTGTTAGACACAACTATATGGAGGGCTGGGAACACCATGTACTTAACATCTTCAGGACGTCACACATATGAAATGCCAAAATAGGGTAAACAAATCATTCTTTTTTACGTTTACTATTGTCTGTCAAATCATGATCAATGCTTGTCTGTCAAAACCTGGCATATTGTACACGAGCATGCTGCTTAATATAGTAATAACAATAACAGTGTAAGCATGAATCATATTTTTCTAAGTGGGCTTTGGAATCATTAGTAATTGCATTTTAAATAATGACAGGTTGCATTATGCCCTGCAGCATGCCCCAGTATGTCTATGTTAAAGTCAGAGTAGATTGAATACTCACCAAAGCCAGCACTAACAGGAGCAGCAGGCCCACTTCTGAGAAGGAGAGACGAGCCATGACTGCAGCCAAGTTGAGCCGACAGCAGCTTCCCTTTTTGTGCACGGGAATCCCACTGAAGACGAACCCACGAGCCTTACATCTCTTCTATCAGAGACACACCTTTGTCAAGCCCCCACCCCCTGTTGACTATCACAACTGCACCTGTCACATGATTGCATTTTTCTTTAAGGCGTGTCTGCTCACTGATGTACAGTTTGCAAATGTACAGTTAAGCCTCAGGGTAAAACATTTGACACAAGGCAATGTCAGCTTGTTTTCTACATGACCAGGTTTTTACAGAAGTGAAGGAAGAAGTTCTCCCCGTAAGGTTATAACGGCCTCAGAATACGATATGTTCTTTTCACAAAAGCCAACACCATGTCGATGTTATTTCATGTTTTGAGCAACTTACTATTCATTACCAATTGAATTGCCTTTTTGTAATGTTAATGTTAAATGCATACATTACTTCAGTGCTGTTTTCCTTCTATATGGTCACTACTAAAGGAACCTGTATAAAGGTGGGGGGGGGGGGAAAGGACCAGTACTCATTTATTTACATATTAGCATGTGTATCAGTAAACCATTATTACATAAAATAACAAGCCAAGCCTTCTCAGTCTGCTCCAGGTTTAATTGTAGTGCCCTTTATTTGAAATAGTAAAACAAATATCTAAAAGTGGAGATGAAACCCTTCACAACTTAAATCAAAGAGTGTAGCATCTACAAGCGAAAGTAAAAGTACTTATATATATACAATCCTTACATTTTAATGCACAACCAGGGTTGTGATGAGGTTCTGAGAACTGGCAATAGAACCATGTGCATATATTTGATTTAGATCTGTTCATTTCGAGAAGGCCTGGGGCCTACAACTGTTCACAAATTATCAAAATATGCATTCCTGAGTAGAGTAAGTAGTATTAACCAGAGTACACTAAGCATTAGGCTACATCAGGGGGGGGGGGAGGGGATAGGTATCTTCTGCCTGGGGGCCCCAGAGTAACTTGCCGCTCCCCTGGCTTACCGGTGAGTAAGGCCCACTTCGAGCAATGCCTGTATATGTAGTGAGACTTTATCATAAAGGTGAAGAAATCAAATCAAAATCAAATCAAGTTTTATTTATATAGCACATTTATAGACGATTTTTGGTCGAGCCAAAGTGCTGTACATATAATAAAAAATAGCCTACAGTAGAGACACTTTACAGCAAATACAACAGCACAGATTGTTCAGAATATCAGTATGAGAAAAACGACACCCTCTATCCTTAGACCCTCACATCGTACAAGGAACAACTTCCAGAGAAAACCCACAGTTTAAGGGGGAAAAATGGGAGAAACCTCAGGGAGAGCAACAGAGGAGGGATCCCTCTCCCAGGACGGACAGACGTGCAATAGATGCCGTGTGTAAATCGAAGAGATAATACATTTTACAGCATATAGACCGAATGTTAGGAAATGCATGTGTCTGTAATAAGAAGATGAATCCACGAGGATGTCAGCTACAATCCTGTGGAAGCCATCAGGGAAGCAGCATGACGAGACCCAAGGCAGGACCGCAGAGACAGCTTCAGCCACGACCCGAACGTCCACGACTTACTCCAGAACTCAGGATAGAGGATCCAAGACACAGGACTACAGCAAGAGGATCAGCCTCGACTCCGGATCCCGGCGTAGATATAGATACAAAACAAGAAAAATGATTTGGCTGGGTTAATCGGAACAAGAGAATAGACAGAGAGGGAAAAGGTCATTGGATACAAGTTATTCTTGATAACCCTCTAGAAAGATCTCATGAACTTCCCCACTCAATCTATCAAGACCCGAGCAGTTCTATTGGATATAGGATAAGAAACAGAGATAGGGAGCACAACAACCTATCTCTTCGTCAGATGCACTCCCCCGCTTATCTAAGCGACTCTGTACCCCGTTACCCTCTACAAGGCCATAGACCAGCAGAGGGAAAATGGGGGGTGGGTAAGGGTAAGGGTTTTTAAGAATAAACCGCAAGGGTCTAAAGGGAAAAAAGATTAAATATAAGGTACTATATTTTAAGTAATCCTATCTACTATTCCTATATTCGAATAATGTATAAACTATTTTTTAAATACTTTATGAAATCCTATGTTATGTTATAAATATTAAAATAAAGAACTAAATGAATAAATAAATAATTAAACAAAAGCCAGAGAGAAAAAGTGAGTTTTAAGTGTTGATTTAAAAACCCCCAGGGTCTGGGCCGACCTCACATGGAGGGGCAAAGTATTCCAGAGCCTAGGGCCAGCCGCTGCAAAAGCTCGATGCCCTCGGGTTTTAAGTCTGGTCGTACTGTAGGCACTATCAACAGCAGCTGATCAGCCGACCTTAAGGCTCTGCCTGGGGTGTAGCGATGGAGGAGTTTGGCTATATAGGCAGGAGCCAGCCCATTTAGGGCTTTGAAAACAAATAAAAGACTCTATTGCATTATAAAAGGCGGTGAGGCAGAAAAGCTTAAAGGTCCCCTATTATATAGTTTTTCATCAATATATTATAGGTCTCAGATATATACAAAACATGTCTCTGAAGTGTTTGGCTCGTAATACCAAACAGATCATGCATTGCAGCATTACCCATAAACCCCTCTGTTTCAGCCCTGTTTCAAAAGTGCTGATTCTCTGTCTGTTACTTTAGATGAAAATAAGGAGCCACTCCCCACTCCCCACTCCCCTCTGAGAGATATTTCGTTAAAAAGAACACAATGGTGCTCTAGGATGGTTGGTGATTGGCTAATGGTTACACAAGCCAAAAAATCGTTATGATATAAGTGGCCAATATCTGATCAGCTTATTTTCAGACATGTTTTTATATAAATGGATCAGGACAAAAAGTGAGCGAATCTTTCTTCCTTAAACCTTCAGAATTTCTTTACACAGTGGGGACACATGTTTATGTATAAAATACATGAAAAAGTGGATTGTGCCTAATAGGCAGTGGCGGCCGGCCCATAGTGGCGCTAGGGGTGCCGCCCCCCCTCTTCCCACATGTTTGATTGTCATTACAAATTTAAAAAAAATGTTTTAAAGATAATTTTAAGGTAAATATTATATAGTTGGTACCAGTAAAATTTATAATCTACAATAAAATCCCGTTTACGTGTTACGAAGTCTAAAGTTACTGATAAGTCACATGTTTCCTGCCGGGCCGCAGAGTGTATCATTACTAGGGTTGGGTATCGTTTGAATTTCCACGATTCTGATTCCGATTCTACTTTTCGATTCCGGTTCTTAACGGTTCTCAATTCCGATTCTTTGAGGGGCAGGATAAAACAATTATAAATTGCTTCTTCCATCAAAAAAAATTACATTTATTCGAGAAACTTTTACACAGGTTAGTTTACAGTAATATTCTCATTAATCTGTTTATATTCACTGCTATGTAACTGTAACCTGAGAACCGCTGAAGCTACAACAGTGCAACATTCTCCCCCCCCCCCCCATTTAAAAACAGTTCTTGTTGAGAAAAACAAGCATATCTGCCTTCTCAGGCATACCGGGAAGAAATGTTTGAACATTTTAAAGTAAAATGCTTCAATCTGGTGCACTTTAAGCAGAATGACTAGACACTAGATCTAGGGGGTACAACTCTAAACACCCATATGAAAAAGATCGGTTTACATTTTAACAGTGTAACACTGTTAAAATGTAAACCGATCTTTTTTTTGGCAGTAACTAGTAGTAACGCATTACTTTTTAAATTCAGTAACTCAGTTACCGTTACTACATGGTGCGTTACTCCGTTACTGCGTTCGTTTTTTTATATAGTCAACAGCCAGGCGAACAGAGATGAGAACTGTACTTAAGTACAGTACTTGAGTAAATGTACTTAGATACTTCCTGTGTCACATGCGGAGACGGGCTGTGGGCGTGTTTGTGTTGTTTACTAACAAGACTATCATGGCGGCGGCGGAGCTCAAGTCTAGTTTCTCCACTTGGAGATATTCTCACTATTTCACTTTTGTCGAGCACAAAGAAAAGAAAGTTTCTGTTAAATGTAAGTTGTGTCCTGGCGGGTCAAAGATCCTATCTACTTCCCAAACCAGTATTTCAAATCTCTTAAAACATCTGCAAAAACAACATGCTGGGACGAAGCTAGTAGCTAAGACCGGCACAGACCCAGACTCATCCAACGCCACTCCACCTCCACCTACGTAAGCAACAGCGGCTGGATTGTAACCAAGGGACTGCTAGCCAGGGAAAAGTCGATAAAGCCATTGCACGGTATGTTGTAGAACACATGCAGGCTATTCTTTCACACACAGTGACGTCACGAGCTACCCACAATGCAACACGCGCCATATATATATATATATATAACAAGCTGACTGTTGCTATCTGTAAACTATGCAGCCGAAATATAATTTCAGCCACCAGCGTCGTTAGATCTGATGGTCATAGGGCGCCCATTTCAGCGCCCTGTGTGTCTGTGAGTTGTTTTGGACTCATATCCAAGGTGACGCTACAGTACTTGATGAGGATGGCTGCGTCTGCAGGTGGAGACTCCGGGTGCTAGTGGATCACCGGAGCTGTAGATTAACATTTACATGCTTATTGTAGTTGTAAGGGCAATGCCTGTAGCACCATGGAGCATATGTGTGGGCTGGACCCGTATTTTAAAGGAAAGGACGGAGTGAGCAGAGGGTCGAGTTGTCGATTCTTGTTCAGTTTTCATCTTCCTCACCCTCTCAGAATTTGAGTTGCGCGTGCTGCTAAAGAGACGCGCTACCATGGAAACCAAACAATGGTGTAGCTGTATTAAAGTCAGAGTGGAAACAGTCGTGAGTAAATCTGATTTTGTCAGAATCAGATCGGGAGGGTTGGCAAGTATGGCAAGTATGACACACACACACACACACACACACACACACACACACACACACACACACACACAGTTCGTATTTAGTCTCCTGATTTTAAATGGGAATTAAATCATTTGAGTGTTCCCAAAGCACCAGTGTTCTGCAGTTGGTGTGGGCCTACTGTACTGTTGCACAGTTTATAGTAGAAACTGTGTCCAGGACAAGGTATTT